TTTAATGAGTAATTAGCAAATTCTGCCAAGGAGTCCCTCTGGAACCATATAAGCATTCTGGCTCTGAAAGAACCAGAAGTGTTTGTCCACGTGGCAAATGATCCATGTTAAATGTAAATCCTTTTTAATGTTCACGTCTGTTCTCATAAGCAGGTGTTTTATGATGAAACATGTACCAGTTTTGTCATCACTGTGATTCTTCAAATTCTGCATTTAACAATTGAATTGAAGAACTAAGTTGATTTTGTTTGCCATAAACCAAGCAAAAGTAAATGCAATAATTTCAAGAGATTTATGGAAAATGAATTTGAGGTATGGCCAAATCTTTGTAATAGTTTTCATTGCTTTTCAGTCAAGAAAGGTACAAGAAAGAAAATACCTAACTTTCTCATCTTATCTCAGTGTTGCGACTGCAGAAAATTGACAAAGCTTGACTGTGTAAACTTATGGCTTACTGTCAAAGCTTCATTCTTGGCTGCATGTTGAAAATGTGATTAAAGTTAATAGAGGAGATGAAATAAGTATTTGAGATTTCTTTCAATAACACTGAACTTCTGCCAACTTTCTCTGTCTGCTACTGTAGGCTTGACAGGTTCATCAATCATCCTCTGGTACCTGGACTAAAAAGAGTACTTGCTGACACTAAGGCATGCTGGAATTTTCTTAATTCTCTTTCAGTGGATGGAAAAAAAAAAAAAACTTCCAAAAATATCCCACACATAAAAAGGGAGGGGAGCCTTAAATGAAAATTCCCTTTGTATCATAGGCACTTTACGGAATGCCATTAATCGCCAACACACCATTGAACAGATGCTGTAGCCAAGAACTCGGGATTGTATGTGTGAGTGGGAACGTGCTCTGTGGTTGCTCAACTGGCACAGGAAAACTTTTCTGATAGTTTTTGTTAATCTCACATGAATAAATACTTTACCTTGTAAGTTTGTATATATTACACAAGTATCTAAGAGACTTTTAGATCAAAACAGATTCAAGGGGTTCTTGAGCTTTAAACAGTAAGATACTCAGTTCTTTCTTTGTAATTTTGTTATTCAACCTGACTTCTAAAAGGGCTGGTTCGTTTACCCTCCTTTTGATATTTTTAGTGCTGAACACTTTTGCTTCTGTTTCCCAGTTTTCCAAACTACTTTTGTTATGTATTTATTTTATATAAAAATTGATATTAATGATTTCATAATTTACATTTCTGCTATGTTGAACAGAAATACTGTGGGTCCTCTGAAGTTCACGGGATTATGATATGATCAAATGAAGTAATATTTTGTGATTTTAAAGCACTATAGAATTATTTAATTATTTTAAATTCTAAGTATTTTCCAGTATTCATTATGATTTCTTGTCTGACTGCAGGAGGCTTTT